AGTTATTGATGCATCAGATGGCAAAGATGATCTGGCGGAGCTTAATGAAGTTTTCAAGGTTAAAAATATGTCATTTTTCAGACAAACATGCATTTCAAGAGAGTCTCTGCGCCTTCTTGCAGTTTCTGGTTCAGAACTCTTTACAGCACCTTGTTGACTTTTCTGTCTACAAGTTGACTTTTTGGTGGGCTTTTTCTTCCACAAAACCATTAAATCTCCACTTCAATCAGATATGGTTATTTTTTCCTCTTTTACCCCCCTGTTTTCAGCCAGTAAAATTCCATATAAACAAACAAATCTAGCCCTTCTTAAACTATAATTACCTGTCAACACCTCCCAGCAAAATAAAAAAATGAAATTGGAAAGTTGAGGAATATTTTTATCTATATGAAGCAAATTCACACAAATTCAATATATATCAGTAGGATTATAGACATTTCACATAAATGGGATCAATTTCATGAAATTTGTGTCCTTTTGTATGAAGTAGAGCATCAAGAGATCATCAACAAGGATAGAAATAAAAAAATATCACCGAATAACAGAAAATCCTTAATATCAAAATTTTGAAAACAATAAATTAGTATGCTATTCCTTCAATTCCAGCATAACTATATTCATGTAAGCTAAGCCTAAGACATCATAAATTAAGTTCATACATCTATGGTTTAGAAGAAACAAAAGTCTTCCAAATAGAGAGGGTCTTTTTACAACAATTTCATAATTACTACTCCAACTTTGACTCTTTTGACCCTAAAAATAGAAAAATCATAATCATAATCAGTCTTTTAGTTTAATTGTAAAGTTTCTTAATTCGAACCTTATCTTTCTTCAAATAGTGGGTAGGGAAGAAGGCGTGAACCAAGAATCATACAGAACAATTTAAGTATCTATAACTTCAATTTTAATTACTTTAGGAAGGAAAAAGGAAAAGAGCGAATTAATTACCTTTTTACCCTATCCCTTTTAGCCTTTTCTTCTAATTATACAATATCTTTACATCATAAACATTAACAAAATATATTATATAACACCAATATACTTGAAAGTAGCATGCCTTAATAAATGAATCAATAAAAATACATTGCTATTTCTTGGGTTTGACCCGAAAAAGAGCCATATGCACAAATTAGCAACATAATTTTTATTTATAGGAGAATTATAACATCCAACTTTCCTTTTTAACTAACTGTTAGATAAACAAAGAATAGGCATTATAATATCCACCAAGATTTTAAAGGTGGTTGTCTTTTTAACTTGATTGACACAACTTAATCTGGTAAGCTATAGGAAGAGTTGCCAGATAAAGTCAAAGAAAGGAGGCTTTTTCCCATTAAGTCCTAACTTTTTCCTATCCAGACAGCACTTAATGGGTAAAAGACTGAAAGAGGGTCTAGGTCTCAACTGAAGTCAAAGGTTACTGGAGCAATAAAATTAAAACCAAATATTGCTAAAGTTTCTGCAGCACAATTAATAAAACCAAAACTTTAATAGTAGAATTGGTACAATATCGTTTCAAAAAAGTTTCGAAAGTACAATTTTGTAAATTGGAAAAAGTTTTAAAGTGCAATCCTTAATAAGAAAAGAAAGCGAATATACAATGTTCTAATTGAAAAAAATAAAAATAAGATGCTATAATAAAGCATACCTTTGAAAGTTGAAATTGAACAGGTACTTTTTGTTTGAAACATGCTATTAAACTTGTAATTTCTCATCGCTAAAACAGAGAAATCAGTATTCAAATATCCAAATACATGTTAAGAACATTGCAAAAAAGAATAGATTAGTGATAAAAGCTGACCTCCATGATTGAGATGAGAAAGAAGATGGAATTTCGTGAAGCTTATATGAAATCTCTGCACTGCAATGATAGACAACCAAATAAGCAAAGTGACATTCATTGGCATTATGTTGAAAATAACATGACAATTAAGCATATGTACTATTTTTTTAGGGTGCCTGAAAGGGTTCCAAGTTACCACTTCCATCTGCTCAAAACCCAAATAAAGAATACGACGTTCTCCATGAATTTAGAAGAAACAAAATTGGCTCAAATTTAATTAAGAAATATAGTTTTGAGTAATTTATTGTACTTTACCTTTTGGTCACACATAGGTTGCAAGTGGAAAATAAAAAATATAGTCTTGGTCAATTTAGGATATCTCAACTTCTATGTCTTGTTTTTTGAGGGTTGAGAGAAGATCTTCTTTGGAATAAGACAATAAGGTTATCTTCTCTTTCATTGTTCCATAAACCTAAAAGTCATATGTTGGACAATATAAACGAAAATTAAGGTAAATTTGACAGCAAAATTGAATGCATATATTTGACGATTCAGATAATATAATATTTAACAAAAACTTGACCGCAAGTAGAGTTTATTGTCAAGTTGGAATAAAGAAAAACTCAACCCACTTACTAATTTTAGCTTTCTGACTACTTAGCTTTATTTGCAGCTCCACTTTGACATCCACTGAAATCAGACAATGGTTAATCAACAAATTAGAAAGCAAGAAAAACCCAAATGGGGATGTACAACTTTTACCCTTCCCATAAACATATAAATGCATACCTTTCTTGCTAGATACCCATCAAGCCAATCTGTAATTGCTGCAGCAATGAAAATAATCAGAGCATCTGGGAATATTCTATCTTACTAATAAGTTTAAAAAACGCATTTAATGATGTTAGGTTGCAACAGGAAGGTTGAACGAATATGTTGCCAAAATGGAACCATTTGGTATGCTTTTTTCATGTAGTGTGTCCAAGAAAATGACCATAAAAATGCCCCTGATAGAATGATTTTTTCATTTGGTTCTTTCATCATTTAATCCATTCTAGCAAGAAAAATAAGTCATTGGATAAACAAATCACACAAATTTTTGTCTAACTTTTACGAAAGAAGTACTTTATGCAAGGACTCATTGTTGTTCAAATGCTCATGTTTGCATTGTTACAAACACCTGGTGTGCATTCACTTTGTCATGTTCTCCTTTCACAAAAATACATAAAAATATGATCCTTTATCAATTGACAGTGTTATAAAAACCATTAGGGCATAAAACTCACCAACAACTTCCTAATTACGCCAACTGTCTGTTAAGGGGTGTTTGTTTTATCTTTAAAAACATCTTTTAGCTTTTAGGAAAAGATAAAAAGCTAAAAGATGTTTGCTAAAAGCAACAGATTTTGTAAAAGCTACTTTTGGATATAAGGAAAATGAACTTTTTGGAAAAGTCACGTAAATCTGACTTTTTGCAACTTTTCCTAAAAAGACTTTTGCCCTCTCAAAAGCTAAGCCAAACACCCCCTAAGTTGACAACCAACCTAACCAAAATTAATAAATTATAACATAATATTTCAAAGTACTATGGCAGAGATACACAAACCAAAGAACTTAAACAAATATGGAACATAAAATAGAAGAAAGAAGGATTTGACATGTTTTTTATATCTAATATTAAGCTGGCTTATGAACGTTACTGTTTATAAGCTGGAATGTGCTTTAATATATATATATATATATATATATATATATATATATATATATACACACTAGCCATTTACCCACGCCAATCGACGGGTGCAAATAGTTTATTCAGAAATTAGTTTCTACTGGTGATTAGTTTTTTAGAATTATCGGAGCAGATATTCAAACATCCAAACTTTTTGACCTTATCCTAACCCGCTTGCTATATTTAACACAACTCCAATGGATTGAAGTGACGTGACATGATAATTAAGTGGGTCTGGATAGGATCAAAAAGTTTGGATGTTTGAATATCGGCTCCGATAATTCTAAGATTGTTAGAGAACTTCTCATTATCAATAAATATTAGAAGATCAAATTTAGAACACGTATTATGTCATAAAAGGATTTATGAGGTGTTTGGATTTGGTTATTTAAGGTATTTTATGTTTTTTCATAAAATTATTTATTAGTTTAACCGGACTTCAAAAAAATTGTTTTTATTAATTAATGGAGTCCAATGCACAATAAGTTGTCAAAGTATTTTTAAATATTTAGCAAATATAATAAAAACCAAAAAAGACATTTATTATTGATTGTTTTCTTTTATATTTTATCATTTATATCAATATTCTTAACAAACATCATATAAAAAACATCAAGAATCATGAAAAAAATGTAAATCCAATTGTATCTTTCTTATTTTAACAATATAATTTCAATAGCACCTAAAAATACACATTTGTTAAAAAATATGGCAGGCCAAAGAATTTTGAAGAGGAATTCCGACATTTCTAGAATTAAGGAAAAAATGGACATTCAAGCAAAGTCTAGAGTTCAAAACGAATTCACATCATCGTTTCCCTAAAATCTCTTTAAGAAACACAAAACCAACCCTATCAACTCCAGCCATAAACTCTTAAAGAAAATAACTTACGTCAAACTGACCATACATATCCAACTATAACAAACTTATATGTCATATGGAACTTCCATATAATGATCATAAAACACCCTAAAATAAAGAATACTATACAACAAAATCTAATTGCAGTAACTAATCTTTTTATATTAAACAAATCAATACTCTCTCACACACACTTTACTCTCATATAAACTTTTTTTTAATCAATAATATTATTATAAAAAGATGATAGACAGTAACCGGACAAAAAGTATAGATACAAAAAACTATAAAGTAAATACATACAGCAACAACAACAAACAACTGCACTTTCAAGAAGAACCATTTGGTAATAGCACTTAACTTTCAATGGCAAGCCAAAGTTAACTATGTACATCTAGTATGAAGCAATAGTAACAGCGCTAAAGGGCAACCCACCAGAAGCCTAACAATATCAACGGAAAAACCACCAAGAGTAATGCATTGTACATTTAAGGGTGCTACCGAAAAAGGCAATATACTTCCAAGGACAATCCATCAAAAGTATCGAACTTTCAAGAAAAGAATGAACCAACAATGCAGCAAAGCAGTAACAGCATTGAACTTTCATAATAGCCATGAACTTTTCCAGTGTGCAACAAAAAAACACCAACTTTTTTTTTTTTTGAGAATAATATTGTGTTTGTTCAATAAAATGTATGAAACTATTAAGAAAAATAGTCTATTGGTTGGAAATGCAGGATCCATGCTTTCTACAAAGTAAACAATGAAAGCATCAAGTCTTGACATCAATGTCACTTTAATTTATAAGGGTGGATAGCAATTATGTGATGGCTTGTGGTGGCCAGTTGAGAGATGCAGAGAGGTGGTGCCATCACGTTCAGGGGGTAGTTGACGTCAAGAGGAAAGTTCGGTGGTGTCACCCCATCTTATCTGAAAATGTCGGCCAATACACAGATTGAACATAACAATAAACTCCAAAATATGTTAAAAAAACTATATGTCAAAATAGAGTATGTTAATAAAACATTACATATCAAAGATAACGAAGGACTTTGAGTACATTTTTCAAGGAACCCAAATGTTAAACTGAAAATGAAAGCTTTTGAAACAATATCTAAAAGTGAAAACCATATACACATATAACAACCTGTTAGAAAGCACAAATTGTATGAAACCAGTTAAATAAAATACCAAATTTTTTTAGTTTTTTTTTTTCACTTTTGTTTTAACCTGATTAAAGTTTTAAAGGGTATTTTTTCTTCATATTTTCCATAGTTCATGTATGGCTTAAGTGGTTGAATGGGGAATGATGAATGACCATTTTACCCTTAATTTCAAACAAAGAAAAAATCAACTAAACTCACTGACAGACGATTGGATTAACTAACTGTCATCTTATGCATTTTGACTGAACTCGTTTTTCAATGTGAAAGTACTTGGGCACTTGGGCAAAAATATGGAAGTACATTGTCATTTCATGCATTTTGTCCAAAATAACACTTTTTAAGACATTCTACTTTAAAAGTTCTCATTTTGGAAATTAGATAACATTGCAATAATTAGATAAAATTTTCAATGTACAATGTCTTAATAAGGAGAAATTGAGAATTCGATGTCATTATAAACAAATAATCTACATTAGTTTTGAGTTAAAAAGTCAATTGACCATTCATGCACACACTACACCACATGTCATAGCCTTGGTTAAGAGAGATCAATATCCGTGGTTTAGAGGAACCCCGTCCATATGTAAACTTAAAATACTGTAATCCTTCCAAATTCACTATGAATTCCTAAAAAAATCCACATAAAAATTGAACTTTGGTGCATATGGAACAGAAAAGTGGACTTTGATGAACCTGTTATATTAACATGTAAGAAACATAAACGTACAATAAGAAAAAAAAAAACAAAGAGCACATTGTTTATTCTAACATACAGACATGCAAAGTTACCTTCTTAATCTTTGACTTAATAATTTAATCTCTTTAATATAATTGGCTGTCTTCCAAGTCCATCCACTGCAGCTACCATACACCATTAAGAGTTCATAATTGTGTAAACTATACATTTAAATACTTAATAAGAAAATTACAATAAATTGTAAATGGTACAACAATGCTCTAAAGGCGCATATAAACGCCAATGTGCCATGCTTTTTCATACTTGATCGAGGTTCATTCCGGGCTTTTTATGCTTATAATTAGTCCTTTAGAATAAAGGAAAACAAACCTGATGCAGAAATTGTTCTCATTTCATCTATTATCAACACGTTTCCTGCCAGAAGACCATTATATGCCAGCTCTACTGATGGGTCAACGAAATAAAATGCAGATTTGGGTTACATGTTTTTATGATAAAAAAAACTTAAAAAAAGGTAAATGCAATAAATTCCAACGTACTTCCGTGTGTTTGTGTGAGGTTTCTCTCCCAAATTTATCTTATACACCATGATCCATTCGTTTGAAAACCTTCAAACATCTCCATTTCCCCACCAACACTTGAAACAATCATAGAAACAAGCCATAGATATCCAGAATCAATGAGATTAAGAAGGAGAGGGAAGGGAATGTAATACTTTCATAACTTGATAATTGAATTTGAGTAATCTGAGTGGAAAAGATGGAGGGGGAGCGTGATAGAAGCTGAAATATGGGGAAAAAACAACCAAAATAAGTAAAAACCCAAAGATCTGTATTATATAGTATACATATAAAAGAAGGAGATGAGATACTTGTAGATAGGATTCACTCTCGTGAATCACATAAGATCTGAGCTCGTGATGGGCCTGGGATGGTAGAAACCCTAGGACTGGTTCCTAAGATAAAATACATTAAAACACATCTTAAAAATTTCGATCTTTCAGTTTAAACAAAATAAAAGGAAGCATAAATCGCCATATAATCATGATAAAGAGCAAAAAACAGAAAGAAAGAGTTTCAAGAAGATAGATTCTTACTAGCATCCCAAGAACCCTACATGACTTGTAGACAACGGATCTGAGATAGGAAGCAGGAGGAGAAACAATATGAACATGTTAAATTGGGTCTAATTATAAGCAATAAAAATCCTAAAACTAAAACATCATTACCTTTCTCAAATAAGCCCTAAATCAGCTGTCATCGCTTGATTGAATTACTATGTCGCAAGTTTCACCATATTCAAGGTTCTTGGTTATCAAATCCTCCATTAACACATACAAAAAACTTGAACAGATAATGCTAGATGGTACAAAATAAATTCAGTGAAGATACATGCAACCAAGATGGTAGGTTTCTTCAAAGGTCTATCTTCAGGGGTGAGTTATGGTGGTGTGTGTATGTGTAAAGAGATAGAGAGGGTGAGTATCAGAATAGAAGTAGCAATCATCGTCTCCATCTTCCATCGCAAATAAATTAAGGGAAATAGAAAATTAAAAATAATAACAAATGAAATTTACCTTAGATAACATCATAATTCCAAACCAAATTAGAAGAAACATTTCGTCTTCAACCCACCATAGATCCAACCTGCAACCAATCGAAACAGAAAATCAAAATCATTGGAAAAAATAAAATCGAAATTATTTAAAGAAAAAACTCATCGTCTTTGTCTGAGAGGGAAAAGTGGATTAGGGCAAGGAGTAGAGCGGTGGATAAAGGTGTAGAGTAAAGTATCCATTATTGCGATTTCATGCTTTTTACAAATGATTTTGTGGATTTTTGAGATCACACGCACATAGAGATTTTAGTAGGTAGGTTTTCAAGATGATTGGCAGAGCCTTAAGAAACAGAGGGCTATCTTGTCACCGCCATATCTATCACGACCTCCTCCAAATCTCTTACCCTAGTGATCGGGATGTCCTCTGTGCTAACATGTATCATAAATCAATGGCGCAGGTAAGCATGTAAGCAATTAAGAAAACCAAAATGAACGAAGAAGAAAAAAAGAATGAAGAGAGTGGTGGTGGTGGTTGTGTTAACTGATGATGGAGATCACATGGGCGACATCTTTCATTTTCCGAGAGAATAAAATGAGAGAGTGTATTGGAATCATATAAGGAGATGGGGCCGAGATATTTGGGAATTTTGGGGTTTAAGGTTGAATGTAACTATCCCAGCTTAATCAACGCCTGGTTTTTGCCGAGATAGCAGGATTCAACTCATTCAAGAAGACTCGATCAATCAGGGATTCAGAGGCTAGGTCAAAAGCTTGAGAGAAATAAGGAAACCTCCGCATTGAATCTCTCCCTTCTTATCTTGACTTTTGTACTTCTGTTGACTAAATATGATTAAGTATTTTGACTGCATAAACTGTTTGTATATATTGCAATACAATCTTCTACCTCTTAAAATTCAGCAAAACATGCTAAATGCTTTTATATATATATATATATATATATATATATATATATATATATATATATATATATATATATATAAGGCTACGTTATAATGTGGATCAACAACTATTGTGCGGACATGTAGACAATGCTATTTCTATGAGAATTACTAAATGAATAAGTTGTTTAGTAATGTGAATACATTCAACTTCACACAATAATTGTCATTTCCATGCATTCTCACTAATTTTTATACATTTTTGTTCTCATGCATCGTTTTTCACCAATTTCATTCTTACAGAATATGACTCAATAAACATTCTGACAACATTCTGACAAAATGAGAATAATAATAAAAAAAACCTATAATAACCTTATAGACGATTTAATTAGTGAGAATGCGTGATAATGACAATAGTTATGTAAGATTGAATGCATTCACATTATCAAACAACATATTTTTTTTGTCATTCTCATACAATAACATTGTCCACACGTCTGCACAATAGATGTCAATCCACATTTGAACATCTCTCTCTCTCTCTCTCTCTCTATATATATATATATATATATATATATATATATATAATGGTTAATGTGTATTGCTTTTCTGCCGCAGGTTGTAACAATAATTAACATATATCATCTAATAGCATCATTCTAATCAAAGTTTATAGAAAATATTTTTATTGAAATTTTGAAAATTAATATTTTATTTGCAATAAAATTCAAATATAAAAAATTGTAATGTATATCATATATTATGATATTTCATTATTGAAAATTTATTGTTTTAAACTGTTTGTCCATATTAATCACCAGATACATCAAAACAAAACGTGTTATATCATGTTATTTGGTAAGCGAAAATGCGAAATAACAACGATTTCATCTACAATAGATATCAGCAACATAGATAATAAACATATATAGAATGTAATTATCTTAAATACTTTATATCTATCTGTAATATGAGTAACTATGCACTCACTTGTTAAAGTGATGACTCGAAACTCGGACAGCGCTTCGCTTCTAGCAACTGACTTTTCCTTTTGACGTAACAGGGATTCCCTAGACAAAAGTCTGGAAATTGCAGTGACAGAACTCCGGGCTGATAGCTACTAGATGTCGGGCTCGTATGGACCTCAGAACTTGCCAAAATACCCTAAACTCTATGAAGAATTTAGACCAGAGAAGTAGAATTTGAGAGAGATTTGTAGAGAGATGTGTGGCAAAGTTATGAGCACAAATGAGGTATTTATAGCCAAATTTGGGATGCACGATGTGCAAATGGGGTACACGTCGTGCATTTTAAGGCTACGTCTCCCCAACCGCTTTGGGTCAGGCGTCGGCCTCTCTGTGGTCCGCGTTTTCACATTCTAGAAGTGTGCATTGCACACCTTGCACGCACCGCAGGAGGCGCAAAACACAAATTTTGTAAATTCCGTAACTTCTTCATACAAACTCCGTTTTTGACATTCTTATATCCTCAGAAAGCTCTCGACGAGATTTATAACTTTCCTTTAGACCCCAACAACTAATTCTTACTTTATTTTCGTCCATATTTTTGTAAAATTATATGATTTTGCTAAAATCATAGCTCTTTCATACGTACACCGTTTTTTGCATTATTTTTCTTAAAATTTCTATCTTAAAGAGTACTGCGATTTTCCTTTTGGTGACTTTAGCTAAAAGTCAATCATTCTCTTCATAGCTTTTTACGTCACACATTCCTTGTGTGCGGTTGACTTTTATATCTTATAAAAATCATATCTAATTCATACGGATTCAGATTTCTAAGAATTTTTTTTAGGGATCAGGACGACGTGTACTTTCTATATATATATATATATATATATATATATATATATATATATATATATATATATATATATATATATTGGCACACTTATTTTTACGATTTACGGGTGATTCGGCTGATTTTTCCTATTTTATTATATTATAATAATCATGAAACACATAATATTCACATAATTCTTATTTATTACATCAAAAAGGTTACAATTGTTGACCCTAACTATTACATCATCTTATTAATGCCTAACAGAAACGTAGGCGTTACATATAATCATGTAACATAAACACATAGCATATACTAGCATATTACATACCCTTGGCAACTAGCCTTCCCTAGTTACCCTGCCCTTGACCATTTCTCAATAAAGTCATTTTTTGTTCAATCATACATAACCCTGATAACTGGCCTACCTCAATTACATTAACCAAACATAACTCTTAACAGTATCAAACGATCAACAGGCAAGACCCTACCAGTCTAGCATACCAAGACACCAAGTATTCTAACTGCACATGCATAACAATGAGTTATCCTTGTCCACTAGCATACTTGTACTCTAACGGTACAACTATCCTACCATGCAAAGGATATACAATGGGATGCATGACATAATGAGAAACTCACATAACTGAAGAACTAAAGAAACACAACAACACTCTTACACCTTGCATAATCCTGCAGATCGACTAACACCAAAAGAGATAAATCCACAATCAACCATTCCAAATCCTCCAAGTCTGACCCCAAGTCAAACTAGTCAAAAGTCAATGGCCAACACAGTCAACAGTCACCACCACGTCCAATTCGTTTAGACGGCATGCGGGACATCGCCACCTCGTGGACCCTCATTGGCCACGTCGTGGGTATGCCCAGACAAAATAATCGCAAGACTGGACAACACCACATCGTGGTCATTCCTTGGTCACGTCGCAGTCTCTATTAGAATTTACAATTCTTAATTAAGAGCTTAATCCTTACATTTCAAAGCTCAAAACTTCAGATCTAATCCTTCTCTATGACTTAATGGATAAAGTTCCAACTTTATCCATTAATACTTCACTCTAAGACCTCTTTCCTACCTGACATAAGTCCATGACAAAAAAATGTCATATTAAGCTCTGGAGTTCCTCAAACTCCAAGAGCATCTAAGAATGAGACCAAAACCATCTAAGAATTAATGAACAACATGAATCTCAAAAGAACAAGGTCAATATGCAAACTTTTTACCTCCAAAGGCCCAGAAACTTGAAGAAAATGATGGATCTAGACTTGTTATATGCTTCCTTGCACCAAGAAAGAGTTTCTTTCTTCACAAGCTTCACCAATTTAAGAAAAGCAACCTCAAAACCAAGTAAAAAGTTCTTAATCTTCCATGGAGGCTAGGGTTTCAAAATGGAGAGGTGGAGCCTGAAGGGGATTCCCTAAACCAAGAGTTACAACCTTTAAATATGGGGAAAAGCCTAAAATTCATGTGCTTCGGGTGCAACAGTTGCCACGTCGTGGCCATCCTCTTGCCACGTCGTAGTGATCATTAAAACGTGCGATCCTCAGATGTCATGCCATTCCATGCATCATGTCGTGGCATATAGTTTTCCTCAAAAACCATGCATTTGACTCCATTAAATCTTTAACTGATCTGTTATGGAAAACAGATGTATATATATATATATATATATATATATATATATATATATATATATATATTCAAGTATAATAAATAATAAATAATAAAAAATAAATTAATATCTACATATGACTATAGTGTAAATTTAATTGTTAGACCATACAGAGTGGAACAAAAAAGCACCTTGCGATGGATGAGTGTCGATGTCATGGTGCGGTTAACATGATACCGTCGAGGGTTGTGGTGTGTTGGTGGGTTTAGCCTAGCTATGGAAGAAGTATAACAATCCCACCCCTAACGGTTGTACTTGTGCATAAAAATGTGTACTGTAATTATTAAAGGGATAATGACTTAAAAGGGTAATATATTTTTCGATTTGTGCACATTTGGTCACTGAGTTTTTTTTTCGTCCACATTTACCCCCTTCAACTTTTTAAACTGTACACATTCAGTCCTTATGACCGGTTACTCCAGGTTAGCCGAGAAAAATGACTTAATAGGGTAATATATTTCTCATTTTGTACACATTTAGTCCTTAATGTTTTTGTACACATTTAGTCCTTAATATTTTTTGTTTCAAAATAAGTCATTTTTGGTTTTTGTACTCATTCAATACTTATGAATGATTTCTTTAGGGTTTTTCTCACGACCTCTTACGTGGGAAAATCATGATGAGGTGTTTGGGGTTGTTGATGATTATGTCCATTGCGACCTCGACTGCTTGGTTGCATAAGTCTTGTGTTCTGAACGTTGTATCTTCTTCATACGATATTAGATTTTAACGATTTTTATATCTACGTGTTCATTTTTTGAGTCTACTATAACTTTCGTTAAGATTACTCATGTTAAAATGTAATATATTTTTACTTACGATTTTATAAAAAAAACATTCATATATGCATTCATAAAAAACGTATGGATATAAAGATCGTAAGTAAAAAATATATTACTTTTTAACGGGAGTAAATCTAAATGAAGTTTGTAGTAGACTAAAATACGAACGCATGGATATAAAAATCGTTAAAATCTGAGATCGTATTAAAAGGTTATGGCGGTCAGAACACGTGACCTAAGCAACCAAGTAGTCGAGATTGCGATGGACATAAGCATCAAAAGCCCAAAACATATCATTAATGATTGATCCACGTAAGATGTTGTGAAAAAAACCTAAAGAAATCATTTATAAGTACCGAATGAGTATAAAAACAAAAATGAATTATTTTGCAACAAAAAAAATTTAAGAACTAAATGTGTACAAAAATATTAATGACTAAATGTGTACAAAGTGAGAAATATATTACCCTATTAAGTTATTTTTACCGGCTAACCGGGAATAGCTGGTCATAAGGACTTAGTGTGTACAATTTAACAAGTTTAATGGGTAAATGTGGACAAAAGAAACTCAGTGATCAAATGTTTACAAATCGAAAAATATATTACCTTTTTAAGTTATTATCCTATTATTAAATTAGATTAAGTTTTTTTTGATGGATATGGTACCATTTTCTATTTTAGTTTTGTGGGATGAAAGAATTGTGAGTGGAAAATGATTCATGTGTCGAACCAAAAATATGATGGGGTGTGGTATTACAGCCACCACCTGGTCTTATGAAATGCAAATACCAAAATAAACAAAACTTAAAAGAAAATAAAAAAAAAAGTTAGAAGATATCAAGTTGTTAGAGTTGCCACAATAAAAATCATCTTCACCAACAAAATAATAAAAAGCTACTAATGTTCTTACCAACCCGTATTAATTAAGCCAACATGATAGAGTAAATCGTTGTTTCATTGAAAAGTGAACAATTATCACCCATAACACACACTAAAACAAACGTTTTATTTTTGGGAAGATCTCTATGTATCTACGTCAAAATCCAAAAACAAACAAAACAAAAGTATGTACATATAAAAGTTAAACGCAACCCAAAACACTTGATTACTTGGTTAACGTTTAAGGTGTTTTTTTTTTCTTCATGTAAAAAGAGAGTAAAAGTTAAAACTATGATCTTTGTGATATTATGTTTCCATCAATCATGATTTTGCCTTTTGAAGGGTGCAGAGCAACACAAAAATCACCAAGCTTAAAGCACTTGTAACTGCCAACAACCAGTAATATTTGTCAAGCCTTGCTTCCCTCATATCATCTGAAAACCAGTTACCTTTCCCACCTTCAGAGCTCGTAAAATACTCCACCAAATACACCAATAATGCACTCAAAAAGCTCCCCACCCCAAACACACTTGTATACAGAGCTATCCCCATCGTCTTCATCCCCTCCGGCACCGCACTGTAAAAAAACTCCTGCATTCCGACCACCGTGAAAATGTCCGATATACCCAACAATATGTACTGCGGTAACAACCAAAATATACTCAGAGTCTCCAATTCCGATTCCGTCGACGTCTGAAGTCTCTTCATTTCGACAGTGGCTGCGAATATCATTGCGATAACGGAAAGGAACATTCCGATGGCGATTCTTTGCATTGTCGTGATTCCGTTCTCGTTACGCAAGATTAATTTAGTCAAGGGGATGAAGATGTTGTCATAGAATGGCATAAGAAGGATTATTGATATGGTTATGGCGCTTTGGAGGGTTGCCGGCGGGATCTTGTAGCTGTCTCCGATGTTTCTTTTCATCGCCATTCCTTGTTTTATGAAGAAGGTTGCTGGTTGTTGGAAAATGACGGCGAACATTAGCAATGTGGTCCAAATAGGTAGTAGACTGACGACCACTTTTACGATTTTGACCAGATGATTACTGTTGTTTGACCTTTCATCAACTAAACATACAGTTTCATTTTCTCCTTTTAAACAGAGTGGTTTCTCTTCGAGCCTGAAAGACATAGTGAAGATCTTATAAAAAAAAATCCTTAATTGTGATGAGATCCTTGAAAACAAAAAATATGCATGTTATTATATATTAGTTATATACGTACAAAATCTTAAGAAAACATACACCTTATGGTCTAGTGATAATGCTGTTGCATGTTTTATCTAATTTTTGCAATTAACAGATTCTATGGAAAATTAAATAAAAACAAAAAATAAATAGTTTATATTATGTTAAGAAACTGACAGTTGAGAAAAAAGAAAAAATATATATAACTTTAACTGTATAGATTTGTAGGGGTGGAGGGACCATATTTATATTTTTCTTTCAAGCAAACCTTCAAAAACATATTATAAACATCCCTAAAATAACGGATAACTGGAAATTGAAAATTATAATTTTTATTTGTTATATGAGTTTAAAAAAAAATAAAAATTGGAAGCTTTTGAAATATATAAAATTATATAATATGATATTTATTTGAAATATATATAAATATATTTTTATGATCAATTCTGAAAATTAATTAAAAAAACTAAGTTTTTTTTTAACGTTATATAAAAAAAGGCCTTTTATTAAAACCGAGTTTTTTTTGTCACTATAAACTTCAAAATAGTTATGACAAACACGTCCATATTCTTTTTGAAATTTTGCCCAATCAACGAATAATGACTTGTTCGAAGTGCCTCAAACGTTGTACATTGATCTGTTTTGAGAAGTTTAGGCTGCTAGCAATAGAAAGAGTACTGTCGTTGATGCATAAAGTACAACAAAAATCATGAAGAACTTACTCGAGATCAACAAGGCCGGGTTTTTTTTCTTCTGTTTTCGAATGGACAAATTTAGACACAGAACATTTAATGGCTTGAACGACCGTCTCCAAAGATCTAACGTCATTGCTCCGGTCATGGCTATACGAGTAAAACCGGCTGCCGCATGAAAACATAACAATGGAGACTGCCATGGCCATGGTGGGCATGGCAAACCCTAAACCCCAACCCACAGTGTCTTGTATATTCGGCATGATTGACACGCCAATAAGACTACCACTGCAGATTCCGAAATACCACCATTTAAAGAACATGCTTTTCTTGTCGGGGCTCTTATCAGTATCAGTTTTGGTTGTCGGAAGCTCGTCTTCTTTATCAATTTGATCGGCGCCGAACGCCTGCAAAGAAGGATTGTACCCACCTTGGCCTAGTGAAATTAGATAAAGTGACCAAAACAGTGACGAAGACGACGAAGATGATGATGAGTTAGATTTGTTTAATGCTGTTGATGTTAATGCCAATAGCCCCTGAAAACGAATGAAAATCAATAAGGTATGTGAAAAAGTGATTCAATTTTCTTTATGAATTTTAGGTGCATGGGTCCATCATATCTGTACCACTAGATAGAGGAAAGAAGACGCTAATATGGTGGAGTATCGGTTCCAATAAGAATCCACCAGCGGCGCCACCAATAATGGCAACATCGATGTAAAACCACACCAGCTGTTGACGGTTCTCGCGGCGGAGGAGCTGCTCATATTCATCACGTCGATCAGATAAATTACAAGATTTGACGCCACGCCTTTGAACACAAACCGCTCCACCCCAGCAATCACTATATATATACACACATACAAACCCATACATCAGAATTCAGAACCAATACGGATTGAATTGATTATAGATGGTGATAGAAATTGATCATGTATATACCTATGAGCAGAACACAAGGTTTGTTGAGTGACTGGAAACTTTTCTCTCCGGCCATTTGCGGTTGTTTTTGGTGGAAACGTTGAACAGAAAATAGGAGATGATTAGAATGGAGAAACAAAGAAGGCACGATTTCTTGAAACTTAACGTTGTTGGAGAGACAATAGTTGGTATTAATGGGACACGACACCAATCACCTAGAAAAATAAAGGCAAAAAAAGAGAGAAAGAAATTGATAAGTTGGATATGTCGTCACAATGGTGATACGACAGTAGCAAATTAAGTAGTCCTTGTTGAATCAGAAACCATTAAGGTGTCAAGTTCCTTCGAAAGAATTTGTAAGATGTTTTTCAGATTTGGCAAACATGTCCACGTGGAGATTCACCCTTATTGCCACTTAGATTTACCATTTACAACCAATTTTAAACAAACAAACTCACGACACTTTAATTTGGTGTTAAAATCAATAGATAAATATAATAATCCATTTGTTTATTATATAGTATAGACTTAAATGTTGTGAAAAACGTTTGAAATTAGCTAGTCGGTGGACTGGAATTGATGGATAAATCAGCTAGACCGAGATTAATCGGGGACCCTTAAATTGCTAATTCGTAGAATTTTAAACAATTAAATATGACTAATATTATAACAAAGTTCGTAAATATCATTAATATCATAACAAAATAAGTTAATATAATTAATATAACACCAATCATTACTCAAATAGTTTCTATTGAGATAGTACTTTTTCAAAATGTTAAAATTTTGTCGTTTGCTGCTTGCTTTATTCATTTTGTATGTATGGATTAATAGTTATGCGTCTTCCAGTCATTTGGGTAGCACCTAAGGACTAATCAGAGATTAATCAGGACCTAGTCGAGAATTTTACAAGATTACTATTGAATATAAGTTAATAAATGGTTAGACAGATACGTTTGGTAGGATAAATTAAGTTTTGAAACAAATCTTCTTAATATGCAAATATAGAAAAGGTTGTTATACATGCAACGACGTTTCCTTTTCTACAACGAAATACAAATGCTATTTATGAAAAGATATATATAGTTCATAGTTGAACCGGATGTTATAATGATTCTTCTAACCGTTGGTATTTATTATGTTAAATTTTGATAGAAAGCGTGACTCCTTTTAAAACAAATAAACGTGATATGGCTCAATTTGCCTTGCTAAAAATAAATATATGATTTTAAAGGTTATAATAAGTATCGTGTTTCATGCGTAAATGTACAAACTAAGAATATCATGTCCTCTACACGTTTTCCATTTATGTTTGAAAATCCAAATATTCACGAATTAGCTTAGTGATATTACTTAACTGTCCTGATTAAATTAGATATGATGTGTTTAAGGTAATACTAAAGTGAACTAGTTTTCGTATGTTTTAGGAATCAGGGAACCGGAATGGAATTTGAGGGTGGTAAAGTGCAATATTCAGTTGGTAAGTAATGCATGGGATTGTTTTCGGAAGTTTTTGGCACATAAAAGCAGGCGTTACATAAAATCAGAAGCATGCAATTCCCACGTGGGAGATGGAATGGTTGTTCATATCTCCACGCATCTACACAAGCCCATCGCGTGCCCACTACTCATTTGTTTAGTTCCAATTCGTTTAGACAAAGTAACAAACCTTTATTTTTCTTTGTTTTCATTTTAGCATAATGAAATTCCGTTCTTAATTAGTTGGTCTAAACATATAATTTTAATTAAATAATACATATATGTGTAAGAATAATATCTAAATTAAATGTTGATATCGTAAAATAACAAGTTGTATTTAATTTGTTTTTTGTTTGTATATTTATATTTTAATTTTACTCAACAGGTAAATAATCTTTTTGTTTTCATTATACCCTTGTAGTAGACTTTAACTGAGTAAACATATATTGAATCATGTGTGTCAACTATGACATTCAACATGACATAATTCGTTTACTTATGTCTGTTCAACGAATACATTGTGTCTAACTGTCTATGTAAATATAAATGAATAAATTTTTTCGTGTCTACTGCCAACGTCAACACCATGTATGATTTAATATTAATTTATGTGGTAAAAATAAATTCCAATGATATAAATGAAACTACAAAATCTTTATTGGTTCATTTAGTACAACTAAAATTAAAATAAACTCAAGCAAATTGAGTATTATCGGTTGCTTTTCATAACAACCAAATATTTACATTAAATTAAAAATAAACCCACAAGCAAAATGAATATTATTGGTTGTTTTTCATAACAACAAATATTACATATAGAAAATATATTCATAAGTTAGTTTTTAGTATTTAACAAGTTTGTTTATAAATGTAATGTAAAAAATAATTTATCAAAAACTTTTTATTCAAGTCAACAAGTAAAAAAAATATCAAAAACTTTTTATACAAGTCAATTAATGTTTTTAATGTTTTTCAATCACAGGGATAAGATATGGTTAAATGAAAAGATAGGAATTATATTGAGGGTAGAATCATAAAGAAATATGTATAGAAGATTTAAAAAAACCAATGAAATGTAAGGGAAAAGTGATTGTGAAGCTCTGGCGCCAAATTCTTCTAAGCAAAGGCCCTACATATTGTGTCTATTCGTAAAAAGGATGTTGATCATTCTCCTGAACGTAATAGGACTAGGCCTAAGAAGAAGAAAATTGGTTCTTGTAGCACGAAATTAGACATGAATATCCCACCTAAAGAGTCGTATGTTCAGAAACAGGTAAAAAAATGAGGTGTATGATTATTCCATGTCCCTAGTTCCTTTTGAGTCATCTCAACTTACTGAATGCAGTATGGCACATAAAGAATGTATTGTTAATGATTCGTATATACCTATATCAAAAGAAGCTCATGTTATGCAAGATCGTAGAGTTGATTTAAGTTTCCCTGATCAAAGAGAGAAACTAGATGATTTTGATCCTTTTAGTGACAATGGATATGAAAATATGGGTGAGTATGAAGGAGAGGTTGCAGAAGAAGAAAAACATGGTCAACATCGAGGAGGAAGAGGAGGAAATAGATGAGGATGACAGTGACTACATTGTAGACCTAAAAGCACTTGTAGATGACTGAGATGTAGATATGAGGGAATTTAATAGTGTTGTGGATGAGGGTGAATGGTTTGGATAAGCACCAGAGACACAAGTAGATTTAAACCAACATGGGGATGAATTAGAGGTTATTAATAATGATGAGTTTGAAAGTGAAGGTTATAAAGAAAACTCCAGGAAGAGGATGTTGAGAAAGTTGAACAAGAAAGTGCCTTGTTCATCTGGGGTAGTTCATGATATACCATTATATGTGGGTCAATCATTTAAAACAAAGAAATATGTGCAAGGTCAAATAAAGTTGATGTTAATCCATACAAAAAGGGCCATACACATGGCAAAAAAATGAGAAATTGAGAGTAAGAGTGAAGTGTAAGGGGTGGTTATAGATTCTAGTGGTGGGCCCTTTATAGTTAGTAAAGTCACATCTAAGGGCAAAACAATAATTAATAAAAAAGATTTGTGTCCTTTTGCAATTCAGATTTCTAGTTTTACTGAAGAGGAGCCTTGGTTAGTGAAAACTGTCATTGATGAGCATTTATGCTTACAAACAAGAAATATGAAGGCATGTACATCTAAATTATTGGCCACCACTATTCTCCAAAAGGTGAATTCCAATCCTAGAATCCCAGTTTCATCCCTACACGAGGAACTTCATATGGATTTGGGGTTAAGCTTGTCTAAAATGAAGGCGTTCATATCTAAATCTATTGCAAAGGATCAGTTATACGATGACTTTGAAAGGTAATACCGTTTTTTAATAGATTACTGTTGGAGTTACAAACCAACAACCCAGGTATAATAGCTAAGTTAGAATTGTGCAGTGAACCAAATCATGATGTTCAAACTTGAATATTCAAGGGAATATATATATCTCTCTTGGAGCACTTAAGTTGGGGTTCAAAGATGGACAAAGGGAATTACTAGGACTGGATGGGTATTTTTTGAAAGTACCATACCATAGACAAATCCTGACAGATGTGGGTATTGATCCCAAGAATGGAATCTACCCAATAGCTTATTCTACTATAGAAGTTGAGTCAACAAGTTCATGGACCTGGTTCTTAGAGTGCCTTGGTGATGATTTGGATTTGGATGCATCATGTAACTTCACTTTTGTATCTAACAAACAAAAGGTATGCAATAATTTTTTTGTTGGTTGTGGTTGATTGGTTTGTACTAACTTGAATATAATTCAATGTGCAGGGAGTAATACATGGCATATCAAAAGTGTTTCCAAATGCAAAACTTAGATGGTGTTTGAGACACATATATGACAATGTTGGGTTTTAGTTCAAAAATAGTTTCATAAAATTGAAAAATATGGCAACGAAAGACTTTAATTTTTGAAATAACATAAACATTTTATACCCACCAAGGATCTTCTTGCAAGTTATAGAAAGATTAAAACACCAACCAAATAAGAGGTGAAGAAATAACAACCTTTGCAGTTCTTTGGGTTCTCTCGGGAGGCTTGGAAGTTGATGAAGAATGTGGAACCTTTGAGACACCAACAATGACTCAACTTGATATAGATGCTAGTCCAAAACTCTTAAACCCTTAAGCTTTAAGTTCATAACAAATATGAACTTAAAGAGGGCTTGAAGATGCAAGTGTTCTTCAAGTTTTCTAACCAAAACTAGAGAGAAAGGGAGAGGGAAGAGAGGATTCAGATTTTGCATCAAGGAATGAATGAGCAAATAATCCAAGTGCAAGCTCTCTTATTTATATGCATAAAGTGAAGTTATTAACCATTACTCCTTAGCACTTTAAGTAAACTTGTCCACATTGTCATAAGCATGTATCCCATGCCTTTAAAGCATGATTAGAAAAGTCATACATTTCTTCTTTTTATGTATATCTCGAAAATTTCATAAAGAAGAAGAAAGAAAGTCAAACTTTTATAAACTATTTTATAAAATATAAACCTTGTCTTTTAGGAAAAAGACAAAAGGATTCAACTAGTCCAAAAGTTTGTACATGACTTATAAATCATACCATATGATGTATATTAAGTTACTTGCTAATGGAATTTATTATTTCCATGAAATAAATAATTTCCAATTTAATTATAAGAGTTTTATTGAATATTTATTAAAATCAATTTCTAATAAATAAGCAATTGTATCAAGTTGTTGTTAGTATGACCCATTAGTATCATATGTTATTTAGTAATATCAATTTAATATGACTCTTGAGCATACTAGGCCTTTCAATCTCTCACTTGCGCAAGACTCATATTAGACTGATATAGACAGTGGTGAACGTCTAGCA